GGGGAAGCAGGTTGGTGAGAAATGCTGTGCCTACAAGACCAGAGAGCACAACGCAGAAGAAGGCACAGTTGCCAGCGAATCGCTGCACGGGGCCGCCAGCAATGCAGCTGAAGCCAAGGCTGTCCAAGTCCAAGAGGAAGATCTGGAAGAAGCCAAGAAAGTCCTTGAGACCAGTTGGCCACGGCACTGACACGGTCTGTATCACGCCCAGGTTCTGGAAAAGGGAGACCATCATACCAAAGCTGCACGTGGTACAAGTCAGCACACTGGCTTTGGCCGTGTAGCTTGATGTGAGGAGGTAGTAGGAGCTGAAAATGCCACAAACCAATATACCAATGCCGAGAACCCAAAGAACTGGCAGCGCTACACCACACTCGGCGCACTGGTTCCCCGTGCTGTAGAAATTGTCGGGGCACTCGCTGCAGGTTCGCCCCACGCGGCCTCCGTCGCAACTGCCTGGTGTTGCCCCGGGGCAGTGCGACTGGCAGCGGTAGGTCTCCAGGGGCACTTCCATGCTGCTGAAGTACATGGGCAGCACTTCGGGCCGTGCCTCACTGCTGCCGTTTCTCAGTCGCTCCACGGTGCTTCCCACAGGGCAGTACAAGCCTTCGCCGCAGCTCACACAGACCCCCAGCGACGCTTCGATCAAGCCTTGCTTGCACACGCAGTCTTCCCTTCTGCTTGCAGCGAGTAGCCGGGTCGTGCGGACCTCGTCGCAGCTGGTGCAGCCGGTCTGGCCCTCCAAGGTTTGGTACGATCCCTGTTCGCACACGTTACATGTCTCTCTGCCATCAGTGTCGGTGTAACTCCCAGGTTGACATGGCGTGCAGCTGGTCGCTGCACTCTTTTCCTGAGAAGTTCCCGGGGCGCACGGGACACAAAGACGGGTGGCTCCTGTGATGTCAAGGTATTCCTGCGAGAACTTTCCTGGGGTGCACACTTCGCAGCTTGTGGCATTCGCCCTGTCCATCACAAAGTTGCCTGCAGCATCAGCTAAACCAAAGCCGGTGATGCAATTGGTTTCGATCGGAAGCCACTCTTGCCACCTCTGCTTGTTGTCTCGCACCCACTGGCATGCAACATCATAACGCAATGTCCCAGAAGCGATGGTCAGCAGAAGATCCATGAGCTCGGCGAGTTCAAAGTTCACGCCGGCAATGAAGCTGCTGACCCTGGGTGCCTGGTTTGCGAAATTGCTGCTGACTGCCTTGCTGATGTAGGTTCCAGTTGCTGCCGTCCTCATGTTGCCCTGCGCCCACTCCGAGGCGGAGTAGGGTGGGAACACGATGGACTGCGGCTGCTGCGTGATGAATGTTGCATCCGGTACCCACCAGTAGTACAGGCTGCGTGTAGTGGAAACAATCGAAACGTAGTTGCCCCAGGAGTTGGCTACAGCGATTGCCGCCGGAAAGCCATAGGTCGTCGACCAGAACATCATGGCCTGGAGCTTCCACCCCGCACCTGCAGTAATCACCGGAATGCAGGTTGATGTATCACTTCGGCACTGGGGCGATATCCACCACTTGCCTGCATGACACTTGGCCGCGTAGTTGCCATTCGCTAGCATCTGAACTCCTGCAGCATCACCTGTCCATCTGGCATAGTCTGCCATCGCCTCCGGCTTGTAGAAATCGGTTTCCTCACAAAGGAAAAGGTCTGCCAAGTTTATGGTGTCGATGCTGTCAAAGTACTGCTTGGGGTTATGGTGCGTCAGATTGTAGCCTCGGTAGAAGTCCAAGGGCAAGCCCTCGGCGTCCAGTGCTTGCTGGAGAACATCCTTGGTGAGGTACATCGACTCTTCGCCTTCGTATCCCATGCTGCCCAAATCCACGGGTATCAAGTGCGGGAATGTCTCCTTCATGTCTTCCACTACTGAAGCATAGGTGGCCGACCAGCAGTCTACACAAACATGGAGTCGGGTCTCGTTGATGCCACACTGTTGATTTGTAGCATTGTTGAAATCCAAACACCCAGCTAGGGCATAAGGCGTGACGACTGCACTACGTCCATCCTCCGGGTGGATCCATGTATGGTAGCCCAACACTTCCTCAACCAGGATTCGGGCAATGTCCGATGTCAGGTAAGCTGACTCCCATGCGCCTTGGAAGAATCCAATGGGGATGTCCGCGCCATCAAGGGCTTTGATCAAGGCGCGCTCAACCTCAGGAATTGCTTCAGGCAGGCATGTTGTAGAAGCACTTCTGCTCGCCAGCAGACATACTGTGACCCGGAAGAACAGCCCACAAAGGAATGTCATGGCTTGGATGATGCGCAGATACTTCGGCAAGGCCTCAAGGCCAAACGGGAAAGCTAAATGCTTGAGCAGTATGTAGTTGAAGTGGTGCCGGCTTCACAGATTGACATCCATGAGTGAGCACAAGCCCAGCAGCCATCTGTTCACTGGCATCTTGCCTGCAGTCACCAGTGCTAAGCGCAAGCAGGGCAGGCGTCACAGCACCTGTCTGTTGCGCAAAGTTCGTCAATCCACTGCACACGATGTGTTTTTTGCAACCCTCTGAGAGAGGCCCGCAACCTGCATGTCAATTAGGCGTGTCATCGGGTTGGTTGAACTTGCAGTCGCGATTGGAGGTTGACACATGAATCAGATGATCGGCTTCCCTGTGTTTCTGCGACAACTGATCTCAACTATCGGTTGGTGCTGAGCTAACCAGCACGATATTGCCAAGGTTGTCCGGATGTTTTCACTACTTCGCCGCGACGTCCGTTTGGACTCGAAGCGAATAATATGCACCAATCTAATGTGAGCCTGCTTCGACATAGGACACAGGATGTTACCTGAAGCGTGGCGGTTGTGTAACCTCTCCTCAATCTGGGACCACAAGTGAATCACGTCATGCCGGCAAGGCACAGAAGCTTGCTGTGGACACGCGAAGTTGATTACTCCTGGGTCATGGGGCATGTCACTGCTAGAATTATCACGCATTCTGCAGTGAAGTAACTTGTGACACCTCTTGTAAATTTGTCTGCGTCCTGCCTTGGATCTCTCAGCTGCTTCAGCATCTCTCGGCATGTGACCGCCATTCGCGCGACTGGCTGCGGGCCTGGACGAAGCTGATTTTGAAGGCTACGCAGCTGTCCCGTCTCCTATCCGGGAATACCAGATTGCGCCGCCAGTGATGAGACACATCCATCACTGACTGAATCAACAGTTGAACAAAATCCAAGGTCTGCACACATCATGTACACCTTGCTGAGTGCATTCAGGGGGACTGGTCTGGCACGAACTTCATTTAAAACTGTTTTTGCGTGGGCCGTGTAATTTCCAAAATGGCTCCAGGCAGCTACGCCGAAAAAGGGAGCTGTACAGTTACATCATGGCGGAACAGTGCACTCTAGATTCTAGGGGATACTTTTGGCATCCTTCCTCCTTTCTCTCGCTTGACACTTCAGCCCATTGCAACGCGAGTCACCGATTTCGATTCTTGCCCCCGCTCTTCAAGACCTCGCACCATCTCGGCTACTTTTGGCCTCCTAGGAGCTCCAAGACAATCACCGCTTGCACGTCCTGCGCTGCCACTTGCGGAGCTGATCTTCTCTAGAGCTATCTGAAGTCTTGGCATGTCACAAGACCGGGCGTGGGGCAAATTTAATTGCGGTTCTTGACGATCCGGCCATTGATAATGGTTTTAGTCTTGCTGCGGCGATCCGAGAGTCTTCACTGTACAGGCTATACGTACTATACCGTCAAAAAGAACTGCTCGGGTTCATCCTCAACTTCCAAGCAAATCTATTCCGTGCTACGCCACAGCGGTAACAGTGTCCTTTCCAGCTACCAGTTGTTTGAGTTCAGTTCCGGGACATGGCCATAATAGGGCTATGGCTATAAACGGTTACTCGACTGACAAGGTTGAGATGCTAGGTTTGGCTGTTGGTTGCGTGCTTTTGTCTGACTGGCTTGCTTCCATCCGCCTCGCGCGAGTCTTTGGCCTGTAGGCCTGAGCATTTAATGCACTGTCGCTTGGCTGCTGGAGCAGTGCGTGGGTCAAGGGGCCTTCAGAAGAATCCAGGCCGTGCTCGCAGACTCCGAGGAGAGTCAGAATGCCAGGAACTGGTTCACTAGCGACTTAGCCACACCCCAGCCCGGCAAACCGGAATCCGACTTTGCGTGCGGGTCAGCTCCTGCGTGACCGCTCCAAGGAAGCTCTTCCTCAGCGGGCCTCAACCCACAGGCCGGGTTCTACTATGAGTATTCCGAGCAACTTCCCGGAATCTTTACACAAGCCACGCGCTTGCACTCTTCCCGCCCCACTCAACGCTGTCAATATACAGACGACGAACTCACAAGCGCATGCCGGCAGGCCCGTCTGTTCAACACTACTCCATTGATACAGAAAGCAACGGTACCATAAACAACGCAGCACCTCAGACCAGCGGATTACCTGCTGGAGCTGTAGCCGGCTCTTGCCTAAGGCCCTAATGAGAAGCCTGAGTGCCAACGCCACTATGCCAAGCCTCGGACGTGGTGTCTGCACTGACGCACAAGCCGGCTCCGACGGGCACGTGGAGCGTTTGCCCATGTGCGGTGGGCCTGCAGTATCCAGTCTTCGGCAGAGGAGTGGGCACTCTCTGTTCTCTGTACGAACGATTCCTACATTGATTCTGGAGGACGGACGTTTTGGTTGACCTCGTAAGGCCTGTTGAGACATCTGCAGGTGTGCCCCTCCTCATTCGAGGCTACAGGCTGCAATGTTTGCGGGCTCGTCGTGGACTGCGATACTCGAAGAGTACAGCATGTGTCACTTTGACTGGATTGTGTTTGAGGCCACGTATCAGGAAAAGTGTTGCCCTCCACATGAAGCCCATGGACTAGTTTAGCAACAATCATGCCGTGAGCGAGCCTGGGGTGCCTGCCTTCTGCCAGTCACTGTACTCCACACACACTCACGCAAGGCCCTAGGAGGCAACTCTGTCCGCACCTGCGAGTAGCCCACTGTTCAAGACTTCCGTCCCCATGGCAAAACTCTAAATTAGAAAGAAGAGCCATCCATGGGCGGCGAGGCTTGAGCCGTTGTGGCAACAGCGCCAGGCAGGATTCATTTGAGAAACCATCCGCCTCTAGCATGGGCAAAGAAAGCCGCTGAACGGCTAGGATTTGGAGCGATTGGAGTGGAGAGCGTGGAGCTATGAGGAATATGCCATGGCGTTCGACATGCGAAGTGGGTGTTAGCAGGGAATATCATCGCTTGCCAGGGCATATGCATACCCCAACCAAGGTGGTATTGCGATGACCTACTGTCATTAGTCTCACTGCATTTCGGCTTCTTCGACATTAACAACACATCTGCAGGGTGCAGTTGGTGCATCAGCCAAGAACTTCTGCAATGTGGCAACGGTCGGCGTTGTGTCATAGCAGCAATATTTAAATTCCCGTGCGTAATTGCAAAATCAAATTCCCAGCACGTAATTAGAAACACCACCCCCTCCCCCCCCCCCGTATTTGCAGAATCCAAGCGGCCGGAGCGGAAAAAATGAAGCCAGAATCTTGCCATTGCTTATATCGATGAAAGCTCAAAGGAACTGAAAAGGCTTTGAGGCTCGGCCCTAAGCTGGGCTGTGACACTTCTGGCTTCAAACCCGCAAACACTGCAGAAGCACAGGTTAAACTCATGACACTGATGAGTGGCTC